CCCGTGAATCATCGCGGTGCCCCCTATCAAACGGTTATCTTACCAGTCTGCGTGACACAAAATCATCCAGCACATGTATCCCACAGCAATGTTCGCAGACTCACGAACAGTCTACACATAGGTGCACTTGTANCCACAGCAAGGAGGGGCCCCGTGAATCATCGCGGTGCCCCCTATCAAATGGTTATCTTACCAGTCTGCGTGACACAAAATCATCCAGCACATGTATCCCACAGCAATGTTCGCAGACTCACGAACAGTCTACACATAGGTGCACTTGTACTAGATGATCCCACTCACCTCATTGGCCGCCCTGGTCCCCATCTCCTCCATATCCACTAGGTTTCCACCGCGTAGCGTAGTGCATGGGCGCGCGATATTTGTGACAGGGGGGCACTACAGAGTATATCCGCGTGCTACAATCCCACCCCCCTGTTTGTCAGTCTGGGATACCCCGGACGGGGCGGGGGGCGGGGGGAATGCCTCACCAGCCAGCTGGCTGCTTCTAAACCCTGTACCCGCTGCAACGCCGCTGCGCAGCCGCGCTGTCGATGGCGAATGAGGGGGGAGGTTCATCATCAGGGAACTTCCCTATGAGGGAGGCAGGTTTCTACTGCGAGTGCGGCGAAAGATGGCATCGAGAGAAGGACCGAAGCCGATGTAAGGGTTGCGTACCCCCCGAGGATCCTTTCGGGCTTTCCACGCGCAGATCCGGCAACGTCAGCGTCACACCGACGCTCGACGATGGTGGTGCACATGGAGATATCTACGCTGCGTTTTCCACAGTGCCTCCTGAGGGTGCTACACCATCGGCCGATGCCCAAGGTATGAATACACCGCTGTGCGAATGATAGTAGGAGCTAAGATACATTGATTGTACACGTGTGTGTGCTGACAACTTGGTTTTACAAGCGCGGACATGTCTATGCATAGATTTTTCTTGGTACCGTACAAGAGCATGTGCTTGTTCCACAGTGTATGTACGAACGATAAACGAAACTTGGTGAATAAATACATATACACATGTTGGTCCTACAGGCGGTGAAGAACCCGCCCTGTTGGGAACAAGCGTCGACGTGCGTTGACCCGGTAAGGTAGGCGTCAACGAGTCAAAGAGATCCTGCACCCAGAGTGATTTGATGGCCCAATTGTCGATCAGAACCTTGGCTGCAGTTTGCATCAGGGAACGCACGCGTATTCTGCAGAATTCGCTGATGTGCGCTGAACGGCACCTTCAAGAACGCATTTCCTTTTTGCTCGGGGCCACGTATACGTCGTTGCACGTCGGCAGTCCCGTAGCCATTCTACTCAAACGTTACGCCGCATGAGAATCCTGCATGGCCATATGCATATATCATCGATCAATCAGACAGATCGCGAGGACACGCTCACCACGAGTTTTCCCCGGCGACATACTCTGTTCTCAAGTGCGCATACTGTTGTCTTTCCTCAAACTTCTATTTAGAACACGAGAGAGATGAAGAATACGACGACCTACAACAGATGGAGACGGGGTTGGGAGATGTCTATGAAGAGCCAAGTGCGGTTGACGACGGCGAGCCGTCTCAGGCGTCCAATGGGCGAGATTCTGGCATCGCCCCCGGTGGTCTAGCAGCCTGTCGACGCTGTTCGATTCTACACCACCGTATTGCTCCTCTCCGCCGTCATAACACGTCGTCACTCGACACAGGCCCCCCACCCCCCATGTATTCGCCGCCATAGATGTTTGGATCGACGTCCGGAAAGTTTTGGTCCACGCTTAGTTGTGCATCCACTCGATTCATAAGTAGCAGCCCTTAAGGATCCAGATTTCGCAAAAAGCCTTAGGCGGGCTGCTGGACATACTCCTTCTCGAGGACGAGGGCAACGGTTTCGACGTGAAGGGACTGGAAGGTGTTGACGCTGCGCACTTCAACAACCGCATGCGGCAATACCTTCCTCTTCTACGGGTTCTCGAGCGAAATGTCCCGTCAACACAAGAAGGGAAGAGCTCTGCGGTGGTGTATGACGTACCTGTGAACCTGCTGCTCGCTCGCGACATGAAGCTGGTCTCGGAGACGGCACTCTCAGAAACCTACGCGGCGGGGAAAATTTTGCGCGGAGAGGAAGCCGCCGCCAACTCGTTGACGAGCGACCATGTCAATTATATCCCGATCAAGCTGGTCGACAACTTGATCGGTTTTTGGGGGAAGGGTTCGTGGTCCAAGCTCGGGCAATACGGTGCCGTTCCGAGGAGGGCTCGACGCAGAAGTACGAGGTGACCCACGCGCCTTGGTGCAAAGAAGGAACCTCTGAAGACCCACTGTTCGTCTTGAGGAGGGAAGGCTTCCATCTCAACAACGACAACCTCGTTTTTTTTTTCGGCCCCTCACGTTTGCTACAACGACGCCTTCAACTGCTTTGGCATGGGAAACAAGGTACGCTGCCTCCGCACTGTGATCGACCAGGATATTGTGGCACTGTCATTCATGTGCTTCCCTGCCTCCACTCTCCCGTCAAGCAATACATCTTTGTAGATGTACCTCGTAAGTGTTGCCACATACAGTATTGTCTTCGGCCCCTTCAGCAGTTGGGTCTACATTGTCGGAGCTACTAGGCGCAGCACTCACAGGCACACGCGCACGCCGTGCCTAGCGTGCCGCCACCTCTTCGGGCACAAGTCGTGCTCGGCGCACGCCTCGTCTTGTCGAACCACACACACTTGCCACCTCTCTTTTGATTGATGCATTGTCGTCGATTTGTCGGCTTGTCAGCATTCCGTAGGTGACACATACTTCGGTTGGCCGTGGAGGAGCCAGGCGGTGCAGAGACTGAGGCGACAGACGCACGTCGGAACCCTTGCTAGCACCGGAGCTTCTTGCCAAGGCGAGATCGGTCTTTAGTGTGAGATCCTTGGATTGCTGCAGGGGGGTGCTTGCGAGAATGCATGCTCAGGGATGACGACGGGGCGATGTCGAAGCATGAGGTATGTTGACAAGCCCTCGGCCATTTTGGGATAACACGCGTGGTGTAGGTAGTGGGAGAGAAGGGGGGGGCGGGGGTAATACCAAGCTAAGTGCCTTCTTTTCAATCGGAGACCTTTGATTTACATCCCGTGCGAGGCGGAGCACCGCCGTTAAACTCGTAATTTTTAGACGCTCCCCGCTATCGGTTTCCTACACATGTATGTTCGCACAGCTCTTCCACGGTTTAGTGTTCGTGGATAATTGATCTCGTACCCTAAAAGCTCTTGCTTAGCATCTTGTGCCGAACATCATCTTGTGCCGAACATCTACCTTGTGCTGCCATTATATTCCCTGCAAGAGTACCGCCACAACCCCCCCCAATACAAGAATGACCCACGAGGTTCCCAGTCGAGAGTTGGTGACTTGCTCGCGGGGACGACGCTAGAGGATGTGGCCGATATTGTCATGGTTGGTGTAGTACCGGTTTCAGATGTCTCCCTGATGTCATATACGGGGAGTATTTCCCTTTTTTCTCATATGGGTTTTTCCGGTGATGCGCCAGTATGTGTGATGCTTGCACGCTAGCGGCGTCTTTGCCGCAGACATCCTACTGCTGCAACCCGCTACTTGTAATGGGGCTCTCCATTGCTCGGGGTGTACGGGAACGCGTGGTTGTTGCCCAGGAGTCAAAAGTGTTCCTCTTGATGCACAGATGTGTTTTGGGTTTCCTGCGAACGCTGTTGATTCGGAATGCCTGACTCTCGTGGGTATTGTTATGTGTTGTTAGTTTGTCCAAACAAGGACTCTCGACTCCGGTGAGCGACGAAGGAGGCAGACAGACGCCATCGCCACGTCCTGTTGCTGGGTGTGCTTCGCCGGCCCTTCCTAGCTGCTGTCTGACGAGGTGTGGTCGCAGGTAGCAGACGATTTGACCGGAACATGGAAGTATCAGTTGACAGGAATCGAGCTTCCTTCCTGTGGAGGATCCATACCCCCTGCCTCCAAAACATTCCGGACCGCTCCTTTACCGAAAATGTTTTTGACCCCGATGGATGATCAACAACTGTTTTGATGCCAACGGGTCATGGTGTGCGAAGTATGACTGGGTGGTTTACAAGGGCTTCCGTCGAATTTTATGTGTCGCAGTCCACGAATACCTGGCGTTCACACTTACGTCCTACCTTCACGACAGGTGTTTGCGCGGAGGGGTCTGCTCCTGTGGGTCGGGGACGGGTCAGGTCGGGCTAAAGTGCTCGGCCCCAGAGCATGCAACAACTTCTCGAGGTTCCCGTGTCCGTACTGCATGGTTGAGCAACGCGACAACATTACCGGGGGGGACCTGGGAGATGCCCAGTACGACATCGAAGCAAATCGACGTACCTGGGGCCAGATCACGGCCGGGCTCGATACGCCAAAGTCCCTCGCAGACAACATCGTCGAGCAGTCTCGACAATCGATGGTACTGGGGCTTGTCGCAGACTCCAACGGCCCCTCCCTGCCCATGTACGACTCAATGCTCACCGCCCCCACCGCGGTTGTCCCTGTGGAGCGGCTGCACTTCGATGCCCTGGTGAGAGTTTTCTATCGAATGCGGAACGGACAAGGGTAGCGCAATGTTTGCCGTGCCGGAAATAGGCTACCTCGTTTAAACACCCCAATGTCCGTTCGCGATTGATTTAGGAATCTCCGGGTGTTTGTTGCCAGGGCGTTGTGTCGTGTCTCCCTCGAGTAGTTGGGCCTCCAATGGCGACACGGTTGATCGTGTCTCTTTCAAACGATAAATACAACGTACGAACCGTGTGTGCTATTTTTGTTTTGCAGGGGTCCTGCCAGCTGTGCCAAGTTTCCTGCCTCGAGATGTTGTCAACTCAGGGCCGACGGTTGGTCTCGGCGGTCGTGGCTCAGAACCCTTCTCTGCTATACCCAGCTGGCACGGAGCGTCTCAAGGATATCGTGTCCAACTACTCATCTCTCACTGGGAGCGACAAATGGACACTGCAGTCGATCATGCTGCTCGTCTTCCGACCGATTCGTGCAAATGTCGGAGCCATGGTGAGGTTTTCCACATTAGCGCCGGGAGGGGGGATNTCCATCATGCTGCTCGTCTTCCGACCGATTCTTGCAAATGTCGGAGCCATGGTGAGGTTTTTCACATTAGCGCCCGGAGGGGGGAGGAGACCTCTGCTTCGTGTTGATCGTACCGTATGAATAGGAGAGTACGTATACAACATGATAGTTGCTGATGGTCCGTCTTACGAAAAAGATAGAGATAAATGTACATGGCTGGGCTGGACGAAATAGGAGGAAGGTACAGAGACATGTTTGAGGCACGGAATTCNTATGAATAGGAGAGTACGTATACGACATGATAGTTGCTGATGGTCCGTCTGACGAAAATGATACAGATAAATGTACATGGCTGGGCTGGACGAAATAGGAGGAAGGTACAGAGACATGTTTGAGGCACGGAATTCAGCACGAGAGACGGTAGCTATGCTGGGGCACAGGAATGGGGCTGACAAGGCGGGAAGTGATGTTGATGGGATAGGTAGATACAGGAAAACTTGTGAACCACATTCGGCAAGTAAGCAGGAACGATTCGCCATCGGTGATCGGTCCTCCCGAGTACCCGTGGTCAATAAATAGTCTAGTAGTAACAACTAGGGCGTGNGGTCCTCCCGAGTACCCGTGGTCAATTAATAGTCTAGCAGTAACAACTTGGGCGTGCGAGACAGGGGGACGCCGCCCCCCCCATTCCGCGGCATTGGTGAAGCTTGAGGCACGGCACCCACAGTCCTCCTCTGCGTGCACCCTGCAAGCACGGGGCGACATGTGCAACCCGGTACCTCTCCGCCCTATTCTCGAAGCGACGTACAATATCCGGATTAACCCCCCCTCCGAACCCATTCCTGTGGCGATTTGTCGACGAAGCCTGCACCCTCGCAGAAGAAATACATGAAGAGGCAGGACATCGCCGAATTGAAAGACATTTGGGGGACAAACGGNCGGATTAACCCCCCCTCCGAACCCATTCCTGTGGCGATTTGTCGACAAAACTTGCACCCTCGCAGAAGAAGTACACGAAGAGGCAGGACATCGCCGAATTGAAAGACATTCGGGGGACAGACGAGAAGGTGCTCGAGGTGCTTCAGAAGCTGATACAGGTGGCGTCACACCTGTCATGCGCTGTGCGTGCGCCTTCTCACAACGATCTGGAGCTAGCCCAACTCGACCTTCTCGCGCGTGACGTGGTAAGTCTTTCTGACCTCTATTATTCCTGTGACGGGAATTGGTGTGCATANGCTCGAGGTGCTTCAGAAGCTGATACAGGTGGCGTCACACCTGTCATGCGCTGTGCGTGCGCCTTCTCACAACGATCTGGAGCTAGCCCAACTCGACCTTCTCGCGCGTGACGTGGTAAGTCTTTCTGACCTCTATTATTCCTGTGACGGGCATTGGTGTGCATGGTTTTGAGCGGCATACAATAGATTGGGGTGCTTGCGTCACTGCGGTCTCCTTTTATCCCATCCTGCATTGGGCTTTGTTTTGTTTGGGGGTGCACACACCAAATAGGAAAGATTGCCATGCTCGGCGATCCAATATCGTTGGAAAGCGTGTTCCTAATAACATGCCCGTGCCCATGGCACCTCTCTCACACACACCCTAAAAATAAAACGGCGATGCACGAAAAGCGCCTCAAAACGCACCCGGGTGATCACGTTTGTTGTCACCCCTACCAGCGAAAAACACCTCGGCGCTTGCTTTATTCATCTTGCTTTTGGGTAGCCGCCAATGGATCCTTCTTCCCCGACCTGCACATCGACGCATTCCCGCAACGTGTTTTATATGGTGCCACTCCTGCTACCGCTGTTGCTACTATTCGCCGTCGTCGCAGCCGTTGGAAAGGCCAGACATCGAGCGTTCCAGCGGCAGAGGTCCACGGGCAAGTGTGTTTTTTTACGTGTCCGGGGGAGGCCCAATAGACGAATGAGATACAGCTCTATCTAATGACGCTGCACCCCGGGCTATTTTTTAGCTTGTTTTCTTCGCCCGTCTACATTTGGAAAGGCCCGAACTCCTTTCACCCAAGAACACGGCTTTTCGCATTTAATATTACTTGAACGTTGCAAAATATCAAGTAAAGCTAACATCTTCGAAGAATCTTTTGTTCTTATACTTCAAGTACCACTCTGCGTGTTAAATTGTGTTTCTTCTTCCGCTCTGTCCAGGTCGGCTTCTATTCCAAGGTTTTGGGGAGGACTGGTTCGAGGCCTACCATCCACTCTGTCCTGGACACTTCACAGCCCATCCGAGCACATGGTGAGGCCGATTGAACGCCTTACCTTGGCTGAGCCCAACTTGGCCACTGGCAGGGGTTAGGATGGTTTTTTTGATGCGGTTTGTGACCTATGTTGGGCAACACACCCTCGAGCGACCCTTCTGGGCCAAAGACCTGGGATCACAGGCGTCGTTGTATTGTTTTAGTTGCTCACCCTGTGTCTCGACAATTCTTTCGAAGCAGGGTGATGAGGTTGAAGCAAGTGGCGATTGTCGAGGTTATACCGCCGAGACATCTTTCAGTTAGTTTTAGGCTCTGGCATCAATAACGTCCAATCAAATTTGAGCGGGAAGTCGAATAAATCTTTGAACCGGCACAGCAGAGCTCCGACTGTCACTGCAGTGCTCCTCGCGGNCATGGTGAGGCCGATTGAACGCCTTACCTTGGCTGAGCCCAACTTGGCCACTGGCAGGGGTTAGGATGGTTTTTTTGATGCGGTTTGTGACCTATGTTGGGCAACACACCCTCGAGCGACCCTTCTGGGCCAAAGACCTGGGATCACAGGCGTCGTTGTATTGTTTTAGTTGCTCACCCTGTGTCTCGACAATTCTTTCGAAGCAGGGTGATGAGGTTGAAGCAAGTGGCGATTGTCGAGGTTATACCGCCGAGACATCTTTCAGTTAGTTTTAGGCTCTGGCATCAATAACGTCCAATCAAATTTGAGCGGGAAGTCGAATAAATCTTTGAACCGGCACAGCAGAGCTCCGACTGTCACTGCAGTGCTCCTCGCGGTATGGGGGTGACTCCGAAACATGCCTCGCCTGTAGTTTGTTGCGCTTGAACGCCAGTTTTCTGGCAGCAGTTATTTTTATTGCACGGCGTTTGGAAAGTTCCTACATGGTTGCTAGGTATCGTACGCTAATTGTCGACCAAACCTCCCCCGGCCGCCTACAGGAATTGTCCCGGATGCAAGCCCAGGGGAATTCGCCCACCAGCAAAACAAGTCCAGCAACAAGTCCGACTGTGGACAGAACCCACCCAAGCACTACGCCAAGCGCGCCAACGTCAACGCCGCAATTCTTGCGCTCGCGAACGGCCTCGAGTACAGTCGTCCCCGCTTTAAAGACACCATATTCAAAGAAACTCCCCGCTTTAAGGACACAAAAATCTCAGAAACATGATGCCCCGCAGATGTGAAAAAGTACGGGGGGTAGGGTTTTCCACCATTTGACCCCCCCAAAAAAAAGTGCTGCAGCACCTACCTGTTGATCTATGTTGTTGTTGTTGTTGTTGTTGACTTCACATTAAACCGTATGCCAGTTGCTAAATGCCAAAATCTAGCAAAGACTCTCGGCCCGTGGTCACGAAAGTGCTGGAGCCATCTGAGGATCTAAAGAACACGCACACGTAGCAAGAAAAAGGTGTACAAGAGCCCGAAGAGGTACTACTACACCTATATATAATCCCTGCAGCACCGTACGCGTGCCCAAAACTGAACTACACGTCCGTCTCACCGTTCGACTACAGCAACATCACCCCCTACTTGTCCCACTCTGTACCAAAACGAATGATTGCCGACTACAGCATACTTGCT